CAGTTATTGTAAAGTAGGCATCATTATGGACATGTCATGGGAATCTGAGAAGAGAGGGAAGAAGAGAGCTCTGAAAATCGAAACTTTTTTACCTGCATGGGAGGCACGACCCTCTGAAACCCACAGTTTCAGGGACAAGAACATAGAACCAAATAAGCACATTTCCAGGACACATTAGGGAAACACACACACACACACACACACATGGAACAGACTAATGCAACACATGGTCTTTCCCTTTAATTCCCATCCTAAGCCCCTGAGGTAGCTTATGGCTGGTGACTCAAAGACATCATGGAAAGGTGCCAAACCAGAATTTTACTAGTGTTTGCACCAGTTGAAATATTGGGCCTTTCACAAACAGAATCCAAATATGACTTTAACCCCATTTCGTTTGTTTTAACAAACCCTCAACATATCATCCCAGGTAATTCTCTGCTAAACCTTTCTTGAATAACCCTACCTTCATCTCTTTGCTCAGAATTTCCTTCTGGTCTGAAATGTCTATAATTTTTCTCATCTAATGCCACCCATTTTCAAGGCTCTGTTTATATACTACTCTGAGTAAATCTTTCCTCTATTACCCAGCTTTAAAACTCCTGGAAAATTTTGTTAGTAATCTTGTAAATGTGCATTTCTCATTGTCTTGACATATTGTTTAAATACAAATGTATCTCACTCTCAAGAACTTTTTAACATGTCTCATAAATGTGTCTGATAAAATACTGCCTCTGCCTTTAAAGAGTTTATAACACGGCAAGCTCCTTCATGTCAGAAGCCATGTTCTGCATCTCTGTACCTACCACAGCTGTTTAGCCTCTTGATGCAGAGAGAATACAGTAGAAGATCCATCCCCTTCTGGGTGTGGCCAATGTTAATAATACACCCAGGTAATCCTTTCCTCCACCAAACTCAACATCTTACTTCTTATTTTATACAAAAGAAGATTGATCAGATTTTTAAAGATTTTGCAAAGATGAATTTCAAAGCCTTTTCTCATCTTTGCTGTTCATTTGAAAATTACTTCCACAGTTGACCTGAATTTACCTCAAAACTCCCAGCATAAACAGGCTGCGTTTTCTTAAATTTCCCAAACTCAGTGTTCTCAACCAAGAGTAAATTTGCTCCCTGTAGGTATTTGCCAATGTCTTCAAAATACTTCCGGTTTTGCAGCTGGGAACTCATTCCTGGCCTCTAGTGGGTAGAGGCCAGAGATGATGACAAAAATCTTGTACTGTGCAAGGCAACCCTTCACAATAAAGAATTACCCATCTCAAAAGGCCAAAAGTTATTAAGATTTGACAACATGCCCTACCTAAAAATAACCCCCCACACACTTTTACATTGTTAATTCATTTTGTCCCTCCTTTCCTCACTGGAACTGTTTTTCTCTACTTTGCGAATTTGGTGAGAAAGGACCTAGCCTTCATCATTTTTCAATCACCCATGTTTTAGTATTTAGTACCACACCATATGCTTTTACCTAGTTCCAAAGAATGCCAGAGGATCCTAAGACCAAAAAAAAAAAAAAAGCAGACATTCTTAAAGTAGCAATACCTAATACTTATTAAATGTTTGCTCTCTTCCAGATATCCTAAATGCTTAACAACGTTTATCCCAATTAATTCTCCAACAACCCTGTGTGGGAGGCACTGTTATTTTACAGATGGGAAAACTGAATCATTAAAGAAGTTAAGTCATCTGTTCAAAATCACAGAGCTAATAAATTAAAGAACCAAGATTCAAACTAACACATTCTGACTCAATGACCCTCTTCTTAATGAATTGTGTGTACGATTTATACTTTATTAATGCTTAAAACATAATCCTCAAGTATAGACCAAAGATCTTTGTTAACAAGGTTAGGAAAGGTATACTTTCAAATAAAGAAAAACAATTTTTGGAAAGTAGGTTACTTTCCTAGTACATTAACCAGTTGCTATCATGTAGATGTTAAATGTCTCCAAAGACCCAAGTACTAAATGTTTGGTTCCCAGGGTAGTATGATTGGTAAGTAATGGAATCTCTAAGAGGTAGGGCCTAATGGGAGGTCTTTGATCATTGGGATAGATCAAAGATAGAATACAACCCCTCCTCACTCTCCTTTGCTTCTAGCCATGAGGAAACAGTTTCGTTCCATCCACCACGTGGTCCCACCATGAGTACTTACTATTGCCTCACAAAAGGCCCAAAGCAATGGGCTCAACCAATTGTCAACCGCAAGCTCCAAACATGTGAGCCAAAATAGACCTTTTCCCTTTATAATTCAATTATCCTAGGTGTTATGGTGATGGAAAGCTGATTAAAAGATGAACAAGGTGAATAAAATAAAACTTGTTTCCCTTGTTTCCAATAAGCCCTGTCTATCATAGGTCTTCCATTTTTCAGAAATTATGTTAAGTTCTGTGTCATAGTCCCTAATTTGAAAGGATTCATGATGTAGTAAAAGAGAGAAGAGGTTCAATGATTTTGATCCAATAAGGTTAATACTTTACTAGACCTGTAAACAAGGTGTTATGGGTAACTGAAAAGAAATAGAAAAATGAAGCCTACCTCAGTCTGAGAAAGTAGCACCATGACTGATTCTTAATGGAGCAAAAGACCATCCAAAGTCCTGGCAAAGGGAGAACAAAAAACAAGCCTACGGATGCATGTGCTCCTCACAGAATGGTAGTGATTCATCTAAGTAAAAAGTTAGGCAAAGAGCAATAACAAAATGGAAACTTTGAAAAGAGCAAAGAGTCAATTGGCCATGCACTTTATGAAGCTGATAGTAATCTGTGGAGCCCTGGGATATCATCCAGTGATTTTAAGCAGGAGCGTGACATAGTCACATTTGCCCTTTCAAAAACCACTTGGGCAGCAAAGGGGAATGCACATTTGAAGAGGACAGGGAGGAAACCTGGTCAGACATTTATTGTAATGATCCATACAAGAAAGGATAAGTTCTGAACAAGGTCATTGGCAGTGGAGATAAGAAGTTCCCTGTCTCTAAACAGATGTTTCTTACCTGAGTTATTTCCTAAAATTTACAATGCCATATACCTCACCATCCACACTTACAGATATCTTTCTCTTCAGTCAAATATTCAGCATTTCTGTGATTGCCCTTGGAATTTATGATAGAAAGTCTAGATTTTTCTCCAAAAATCCCAATCACACCAGCCTTTCTTAGGAGGTGTTAAAGAATTTAATAGTGGGTAAGGCTTAAGGTTGTTCAAAGAATATCAAGAATTCAGCAACAACTTTCATCTCCCCCCACCCTCACTCCCACCCCGACACACATGCCATGATCATAAAAAAGAAAAAAAAAATATATATATATAGTGATAGTTAAAGCACTAAGTCAGATTGTTCAGGACCATCCCAATAGATAGGGACCATAGCAATAGGATTTTGCAGTGAGGAAGAGAGATTGAGCTCTACTCTGAATACATCATGGGCAAATAGGAATTTATAGTCAAAGAGTAGGTGGGGCCAGTGGATGGGAAATTACTAAGAAAAGAACCAGGGGTAAGGGAGATACTGACTAAACTGACCTAAAGGATTCTTGCTTAAGACATGCCAAGCCAAACTGATCAGATAGTCAAGGTGATCAGTTATTTATGGGGGAAGGGTTGATAAATGACTTAGCAGAGCTTTTTGCTCAAATTGGATTTCAGAAGGAAGTGGGCAGATGGGCCTACAAGATGGTTCAGGAGGCTAAACTAACATTTAGCCAAGCAAGGAAACTTTGTCACCTATGGTGGACCTTCAATAACGTTTATTAAATAAATAAATGATATATAATTTAAGGTCTTCTTCCTAGAAGTTCTCAATAATGTTTACTCTAAATCCTACACATTATAATCTTCTTTTGTATTGTTTTGGCCTTCTTTTGTATAATTTATTCAAATTTTAGACGTCACACATACATTTACCTCTTCAGATTTTAGCTTTTTTCCAGAAATTTAATTTTAGGCCCAAATTAAGAATTTTCACTTTACTTTTTTGTAGTCGGGATAGAACCCAGGGCACTTTACCACTGAGCTACATCCCAGTCCTTCTTATTTTTAATTTTGAGACAGGATCTCCCGAAGTTGCTTATGGGCTCACTAGATTGTGAGGCTAGCTTCAAACTTGCAGTCCTTCTGCCTCAGCCTCTGAACTTCCTGTAATTACAAGTATACACCACCACACCCTGCTTCAAATTTTCCATATTTTTACTTCTGAAAGCATAGCTTTTTAAAAAAAAAAAAAGTGTATTATCTCACTTTAAAGCTTAATGTTAATGTGTTTAAATATATTTCAGAGGAGAAATAAGCACTAAAACACAGGAACTACTTCAATTGGATATGACTACATAGCATTCTTTCTGTCTCTGATAGCCCAAAATATACAAAATATATGAAAAACTTTGTTAAAGCCACTGCCTTCCCCAGATCTTTATGTACACATCATTTCCCTAAGGAGGACTTTTATAGTACTCCAGACAAAGTAAGTTACCTCTGCTGGCGTGCCCTGTATTTCCTCTACCCAGACACTTCTCACCCTTAGGAAAACACTTATTTGATTATCATCCTTCTGTCCTCACTTGCTCTAGAAACAGAAGGCAAATTTGTTAGTAACATTTTCATGACTACATTCCCAGCACCAAGAACCTACACCTAGGAAGTACTAAATAAATATCTGTTCAATATATGAGTTCATCTGTTCATTATTTTATGTCATTTGAGGTAGAAAAATAAATATAAGTTGTTGCTATTGAGGATGGAGGCTGTTCTAAATTGGAAGAAAAACTAACTCTTTTTCTACATAGTTTTTTCATTGTTTGGATTTAGGAATTATTTGCAGGGTTATTTGCATAATGTGAAAACTTTTTTAATTAAAAATAAAAAAGATTTTAAAGTCAATAACAAATAGGTTTCTTCTTCTATTTAACAGACCTCTGAGAGAGAAAGCACAGTAGGAAAACAGAAAGAACACTTATTGATTCATAAATACTAAGACCCTCTTTATTTCTTAAATATAATTAGACATAATTGTTTAAAAAGAAAACATTTCTTTCTTACAGATATTTCAGTTTTAGAACTATCCCAGCAGTCATTTCAATTCTCCAGTGCTCTTAAAATGGGCATGCATTTTGCATCGTTAAATGAAATAGGTGGGGGAAAATCAGTATTTTAAATAGCATCACCTCATTGAATTTCTTCCTAATATATTTTATCTATAATAATGGTCAGAGCATCTCCATACCTGGTCAGCATCTAGGAACATTCTTCTCATTCCAACCAAAAGCAAGTGAATACTGATTAATATTTAATCAATGATTAGGATTTTAGGTACAAATGTTTTTTTCTACATAGAAGTTTATAATTCTTTCACCACATATATATATGGTACTCCCCCATTATACCCCTTATTAAGAACTCATTCTGTAAGAGCAGCAATTTGAACAGCAAGTAGCAGAGAACCTATTCCAGTAACTTTTAAATGTAAGTACATTTTGTTACTTCATATAAGCATAAATTGGAGGCAGAGGGTTTTCAAGGCTACATCACTGTGTTCTTTTCATACTTCTCTGCTCCCCTCAGTATCATGGCCATTCATCTCAAAACTCTAAAATGCTTTAAAAGCTCTACATCATACCCTTAGTCAACAATATTCCAAAGACTAAAAGAATATAATTCCCTTCCTTGAACCCCTTTTCTTAAGAGAGAGGAAAACTTTCTCAGCATATACCAGCAACATCTTTCCAGTTGTGCCTATTCCTAAACAAATCTTTTGAAAAGGGGATTGAACTTCCAGGAATGCCCCTCATTCATCAGGATGATGCCTGCTCCATAAAATTTCTTCCCCTCCTCCTCCTCTTCCTGCCGCCAGAGCACATGGTCGCCTTGTATCTGGAAATTTTCATGGCTCTGTTTGCAAAGAAGATGGGAGAAAAGGAAAATTGGTAGTTAATCACATATATCATTCCCATGAATAATTTTTCTTTGATTTTTCCATTCTAAGAAATATATTAATCATCATTACTATTGAAAAACCAGCCTCTACCTCAGAGCAAAGCCTGTTCAAGGAAGGGACATGGCCTTTGTCCTTGGAAAAACCCACAGAGCACTCCTAGGCACATTCCCACCCTGCTAAGTAGTTTGTCTGCAAATAACAGGAGAGATCTGCTGCACCAGGTGTCCCTGACTCAGTCAGGCTAGGTGGGGACCCATAGCAGCCCCCTAGCAGCCACCAATCAGCATGAGTCAGGGAAATACCTGGGATGTCAGATGACCCTCCCAGTAGTTTATGGTGGTTGATAACATATTGGGAAACCATGTAGTTCAGCAAGTACACCCCTCTTGGCTCAAACCAATCAGTTCAAACAAATACCCCTTTTGTACTGACCAATCAACCCTACCCAACTTGTTCCCGCCAGTGAATGTGCTAATCATGTTTTAGAGTTGTTATTTGATTTTCCCGCGGTGTGTGATGATTTGCTAAGAGATGCTATGATGTATGTGGGGGTCCCTGCCTCCTCCAAAGAATGTATAAAACTGCTGCAAACCCTGGGCTCGGGGCCTCTCAGCATCACCAGTTGCTGTGTGTGCACACAGAGGACCAAGCTAGCTTGCAATAAACACTTCTTTGCTGTTTACATCGATCTTGGGTCTTTGGTGGTCTTTGGGGGGGTCCCGAATTCAAGCATAACAAGTCCAGGAGTCAAAAATCAGTCTGGCAATGTAATAAGACCCCATTTCAAAAGAGAAAGAGAGAGAAATTTTTTAAAAATTAGTAAAATGGAGGTTTTATTCATTAATTTAGTCAATGAATTGGGAAAGAGCAGTTGGTAGAAAAACTGATAAGTAAGCACATGGTCCTGGCTCTCATGAAGTTTATACTGCAATAGGGAAGATGAATAAAATGTTATCCAACAAATAGAAGCATAATCATATTTGAGACAAGTGCCATGAAAGAGAAAATTCTATGTACTGGCTAAGATGCAGAGGAGTTGTCATGGGAGAAGAGGTATCTCCAAAGAAGGGTCCAAGGAGTTCTCAAAGAAAAGGGGGAACTTGACTCAGGACCACTGAGTTTCTTGGCATACATGATGGAAAATAATTTCAGCATGTGCCAGTCAAAGGAACAGACAGAGGTTTATTTAGGAAAGTAGACACACATTCAAGGAAGAATGAGAGCAATCTGGAGAAAGATGTCTTTGAGGGTAAAGCAAGGAATATGCACTCAAGGGAGAGTGTGGGCCATCTTGAAAGTGAGAGACAGTTTGGGGGTTCCCAGTTCTTCTTTTAAAGGAAACTTGGTAAAGGGTAGTTATGGAAAGGTATATGAGAATTTCAGACTAGTGGTCTCAAGATGGGTTCTAGTAGTCTGGTCAGTCTCAGGATTCTCAGGTTGATGTGGTCTTCATTATCTGATCAATCAGCAGTGCTGGAAAGTCCCCTATGGTAGGTAATAGACATGAGCAGTGGGAACATGAGATTAAGGAGACAATCATATTAACTGGGCTTATTGTGCTGACCATCACATATATTCTTTTAAAAAGCAATCAACCTGCAGCCCTGCCTAGCTTAAGTTAACAGAATCTGTACATTCCTCAGCAAACAATCTGTTATCTTCAGCCTAAATGAGGGCCCCCAAAGACTCCTATCTGCCAATAGTAATGCAAGTTACCCTAAGGGCAGAATTTTTTGACTCTTCCACAGACCAGATTCCAGAACTCGGGGAGATAAGATAATTCCTCCTAACCATAAAATCTATAAGAACAAGTTTCAATTGGAAACTTGAGCCAAAGTGATTCAGAGTTGCCTTGGATCTTAACCATACAGAGTGAGGACTTAGAAGTCTGATATAATCCTGCTGTTACTCAAACATCAAGAGGTGAACCTGGATGGGACTCTCTGGAAACTTCCCTGGCACCCTAAATATAACTGGAGGGCAAGCCAGGTACAGTGGTGCACGCCTGTAATCCCAGCGCCTCAGGAGGCTGAGACAGGAGGATTTTTGAGTTCAAAGCCATTCTCAGCAACGAAGGTGCTAAGCAATTCAGTAAGACCCTGTCTCTAAATAAAATACAAAATAGAGCTGCGGATATGGCTCATTGGTTGAGTGCCCCTGAATTTAATCCCCGGTACCAAAAAATAAAATAATAAAATAAAATATTTCTTCCTCTACGTCTCCTTGCAACCTATTTCTTATTTCTTCTATCCTACCTCAGAAGCACGTAAATTCAGTGATCAGGTATTATGGTTTACATATGTGGTATCCGCTAGCAGCCTTAACCTAATTGATGCATTGAACCACTTGAATAGATTTACTGGATGTAGGCTAGTAGGGTGTGAACGGAGGTGGTGGGTCCATAGGTGTATGCCTTTGGGATATATATTGTTTCCCTGGAGAGCAGAGTCCTTTCTCTGCTTCCTTGTTGAATGTTTTAAGCTGCTTTCCTCTGCCACACCCTTCCACCATGATGCTCTTCTTCACCTTGAGCCCAGAGCTATGTGTTATGCTCGAATTCAGGACCCCCAAAAGACCACCAGAGACCAAGATCGATGCAAGCAGCAAAGAGGTGTTTATTGCAAGCTAGCTCGGTCCTCCACGAGCACACACAGCAACTGATAATGCTAGAGGCCCGAGCCCAGGGTTTGCAGCAGTTTTATACATTCTTTGGAGAAGGCAGGGACTTCACATACATCATAGCATCTCTTAGCAAATCATCACACACCGCGGGAAAATCAAATAACAACTCTAAAACATGATTAGCACATTCACTGGCGGGAACAAGTTGGGTAGGGGGGATTGGTCAGTACAAGAGGGGGATTCATATGAACTGATTGGTTTGAGCCAAGAGGGGTGTACTTGCTGAACTACATGGTTTCCCAATATGTTATCAACCACCATAAACTACTGGGAGGGTCATCTGGCATCCCAGGTATTTCCCTGTCTATGCTGATTGGTGGCTGCTAGGGGATTGGTATGAGTCCCCACCTAGCCTGACTGAGTGAGGGACACCTGGTGCAGAAGATCTCTCCTGTTATTTGTAGATAAACCACTTAGCAGGGTGGGAATGTGCCTAGGAGTGCGCTGTGGGTCTTTCCAAGGACAAAGGTCGTGTCCCTTCCTTGGACAGGCTTTGCTCTGAGGTAGAGGCTGGTTTTTCTTTTTTCTTTTTTTTTTAAAGAGAGAGGGAGAGAGAGAATTTTAATATTTTATTTTTTAGTTCTCGGCAGACATAACATCTTTGTTGGTATGTGGTGCTGAGGATCGAACCCGGGCGTACGCATGCCAGGCGCTACCGCTGAGCCACATCCCCAGCCCGAGGCTGGTTTTTCAATGGAGATGGCCATCTAAGGACTGAGACTTCTGAAACCATGAGCCCCAAATAAACTTTTTCTCCTCTATGTTGTTCTTGTCAGGTCTTTTAGTCCGACCAAAAAAAAAAAAAAAAAAAAGCTGAAATATCTAACATTAAGCCTGAAAGATGAGGAGAAAGTAGTGGAGGACAGGCACCCTGGACAGAAGGAAAATATGGGAGGTCTAAGGACAGTACAGAGGCCATAAGGGACATTTTCTCTGCCTCAAAAGAAGAAAGCAATGATGGCTCCAGGTACAGATCAGTGGCAACCAGTTGAGAGGCTCCCTTCCAATAGGTTCTGTATAAAATAAGACACTGGTTGCTTCGCCTTAGTCTATTGCCACTGAAAGAAGCTGAAAACAAACCCATTAAAAAGAAAAGCACAAGCTCCTGTGGAAGTCATAGGATGAAAAGAGCTGCTGGAAACCAGGGCAGCCCTGAGGACCTCAGGGACTAGAACTAGGAATCAGGGCTCCCTCAGGCTTGCCTGACGGCTGGACATCAGCTTCACTCTAAGTTGTCTCCTTGTGAAGTACGACATTGCTGTGGGCAGCTCTGCAGGCACAAGTTTACAATCCCAGGAAAGAGAAAATGGATGTCTCCCTACCACTTCATCCATTCAAAATAAAATAATACCAGCTTAGCACATCCCTGAGTCAATCACTGTAGCCAGGAGAAGGGTGTGAGAGCCACAGCCAGTTGGGATGGTGCATGGCATTTTGCCAGAAGGAGTGGTTGAGAGGTGATGCCAGGGAGCCATTAAGATGATGATAATTAACTTATAATTGCTGTGACTGGATGATGCTGGATTGAAACAGGCTGTGTATTGAGTTGTATATGGACCCTGCTGTCTGGCAATAGGGCGGCTCCAGCAATAGGGCAGCTCTGGGAATAGGGCACCTGCTACTTTGGAGTTCCCCGTAGGGTTCCTACAGAGTTCAAGAGGAGCCCGGTGGAGGCTGAGAGAGTTCCTGGGAAGCACGCATGGAGTGCGGGTGAGAGTTCAGGCAATAAAGGAATTCCTGTTTGAACCTACAAGTGCCTCATGGCGGCTTGGTTATTTTGTGCCCAGCCAGACTACGGCAGAAGGGAAGCACTATTTGTGACTTACTGTGTCACGCTTGTGGGGTTCTTCATCCAAAAGGAAGGAGAGGGGCATGGGGCAAAAACAATAGTCACCATACTCAAACAATTCAAAAATTAACTCTTGTGGCTGACACTGGCTAAATCCACAGTGTATTTAAAAAAAAAAAAAATCCTTTACAATTAATTTATACAAATAAATTCCAAAAATCCTCTATAATTCCAGTACTAAAGTTCTCATTCAATTCACAAAGGAAGAATCAATAAAGCCTTAAGCCACTTGAAGAAAAGGTTTTCCACATCTATTTGGAATTTGTTCTTTTATTGTGCTGCTTCTGCAATACTAACATACCTCATTCTGTGTTCCAGTTTATCCCATAAAGTCCCACAATTAACTTTATTAGAATTTTACTTCTATCTAAAAATGTTAAAAATTCCACACTTTTTTTTTACTCTATATTGGCCACTCCACAA